GGGGGGAGCAGTAGGGGTGAGGAAAGACTAGAAGACAAACTTCAATGTCATTCACTGCACATGGGACTGTTGTTATGTCTAGATGTGTTTCACAATTATGTTTACAGACAGAATAAAAAACGGCTAGACTGCAGCTAATTACATGATGTGTTGGAATGGAGGCTGGTGTGGTCCACATGTGTGAATGGAGTCAGTGGTGTTAGTGCTGCATGGGCTGCTCATAATATCTGCTGTCATTATATGTGTGTGTGTGTGCCGTCTGTGTGTGTGTGTTGATGGCGGAGGTGTGTGCACTGCAGATGGCTCCTCAATGGCAGGCCCTTTCCTTCATTACCATAACAACAGACTGCAGCTCGAGAGCAACAAAAAAAAAGTCGCCCTTCGCTCGTCTTCCCACCCATCGCAGCATCATGTCGTCCAAATATTAAACATCACCATATAATCACGTTTTTGTGCGCTCAACTTCAGAGTGTAACCTGCTTCTCTTGTTGTCCGTCTCTACAGAGCTTTGCTGGACAGCGAGAGCCTCGGGGGAGACGTCCCTTTGTTAAATCAGCCAAGAGACATGTCCGTCACAGGTAATTCAAGTAACGAATATTAATACGTCAGCACCATGTCAGTGTGTATAGCACCTCAATATGCCACATAAATCCTCTCCTTTATCCCCACTCCCCTTTGTAAGAGTATAATTTCACTCAGCCTAACTAAAAGCCCCTCAGAGTGGGGGGACATGTTTGATACAGTTTGTAATCGCATTAGGCTAACAGGGTGTGTGTGTGTGTGGGGGGGACGGGGACGGGGGCTTGGCTAAGGGAGCTGAGGTAAGCACTTTGGGTCCTGCAATGCAAGCCACCAAAGACAGTCCCCAAAGGTTATTGAGCCATATGGCTTTGCTTTCCGGTAACTTAGACAACGTTAAAAGGAAATGTCAATCAATACCTCCCCATTAGTGTACAGCTTCCATTGAGAACAAACATTTTAGTAATGCTTTGGGGAGGCAGTACGTTAAGAGTACTTGGGATGATTTCAAATACTAGTCAAAGCTGTGTGGAGGTATCAAATATCTAGGATACTGTATCTTGGCAGAATCATGATATGGGAATTGGTTTAAACTCAAGAGACAATCAATGTCATTATTATTACAGTAGCTCAGTTGATTGTGTATTCATGAGCGCTGCTCTTGTCCTCCACAGATGCAGTTTTCAGTCCTTGGGGGGTTAAAACGAATTACCAGACCCAGCTGTCCACTGGATACAAGACCGCATCCCTCTCATCTGTCCGTGGTTTAACAGGAAGAGGGCCAACAGCGATTACAGCAACACCAATGTGGAGTAGAAAACCTGTAACCCTCACTGAGACTCCAAAGATTTCCTCGGAACTTGAGACTACCGAGTCAGCGACGTGGGAAACCCCTTATCCCAAAATACTGCAGGATGGAGCCATTGAAAACTTTAGACCCCAGGAGCTTCATGAGAGAGTCACCTATGCCGAGCCTCTATCGCCTCCCAATGAGCAGGAGGCTGAAACAACACCAGGGGACAAAGAAGGGGAAGAGGACTGGAACAATGTTGGTGTGGAACCGACTGAGGGCGGACCAGTCGTCCAGTCAGTGGTCAGTTATCAGGTTGAGTCTGGCCTCAGCGCTGAGCCACCCCTCAGTGATAAAATAAGTCAGCATCAGTTTACCACAACCGACCTCACACCATACTCTGTCAGAATGACAGAGGAGCCCTGTGGTTTCTCAGATGAATCCGATATGGATGTGCCTTTTGAAAGATCTGTGGGAAAAGAAGATATACAAGAGCTGCATGCTCCAATTGATGAGTGGGCAGAGAAAGAGTTTAAAGGCAAAGAAATAGAGCATGTGCAAGAGGAAATGTCAGATTCTGAAACAGAGGCGGTGATTGAACCAAACTTTGATTCCAGGACGAGTAGTCCAGTGTCTGAATGTGAACCTGAAGAGAGCTTGTTCGACAAAGTGACAGACTTCAGCACAGATGAAAACATCTTGAAGGAGGACGCTGCTGAGACGAGGCAAGAAACGAGCTGTTCCATAGTGGGAACAAATGAGACGGATGTTGAGGATAAGTTGTATCCTGATGGAGAAGAGATGGATACGTGGGATAGTGTAATAGAGAGGAAGGCTGATCTGAAGACAGATGAGGGCATGAAAACGGATGAAGAAAAAGGACAACACGCGGAACCAGAGGAAGATATATCAGCAAGAGAACAAAAGCATGAACAGAGAGAAATTAGGTCTGATTTTGCCGCAGGTGTACGTCAAGACGACATCGAGACTTCTTCAACGATGCACACACAAGTAGATGACGACGGACGGCATGCTGCTTTAGACCAAGAGGGTGCACTTTTCCCTGACAACGACGAAGACGAGGATGAGGAGGATTCTCAAAATGTCTCTGTGTCATGGAGGACAGAGCTGGAGGGTGACAGCTACGCTCAGGACAACACTCTCGCCGACCCTCGGCCTCTGATTCGATACAAGAGCGACGAGACCGACGCCAACACTCAGGCGTCGCACGTGGACGAGAGTGACTCCAGTGATGGGGAACAGGAAAAGAAGTGCGGAGAGACGGGAATGTGGAGCGAGGGCAAGTCAAAGAGATTTGGAACTATGGAAGATCTGTGCGAAGAAGTCGAAGGGGAAGCGCTGGATGAGGAGTATAATCTGGGATATACTCACATTGAGAACAGGGGTGTTGGTCATGGTATGACTTTAAGTGACCAGGCTGAAGAAATGATCAGAAAAGTCAGTGAGGGACAGTCGGATGTAGAAACTGAAGAACTTACCAAATCCACGACACCCACAAATATGTGCAACGATGAGGAGTTGGAGACAGACCGACTTGTGGAACAGGAATTAGAAAACCTAGCCACGGACAGCTACAGCGCTCACTTTGCACAGCAGCAGGTTAGCGAGAGCGAGGAGATGCTACATCTGCAGGGCAAGTCTGTCGAGGTAAAGACAGAGCAAGAAGAAGCGGGAATGCCTCGCTTTACAGAGCCTGACGTGAGAGTCAACCAGCAACTTGCATCTTCCACCACAATTACAGATCAACCTCACGAGAACCTGTATTTCTGTGATTCACCAGTGGCAACGCCTCAAGCAGACACCCTGACGTACGAGGAGGTCCAGCATAAAGATCAGGAGGTGATAGATGCTCCAGAGAAAAGAGAGGAAGAGGATGAACACAATGCGTCCATGGTGACACATGCCGATGCTACAGAAGATCACTCTAGCTTTACTGACTTCATCTGCAGGCCTGATATGGAAGAAATCAACAACTCAGAGGGTCCAAAGCCTGTGTTGCAGGTCACAGCGGATCAGGAAAACCTTCAGGCTGTGGCTGCCCCTACTGAAGTGAAAGAGGTTGCACCTGGGGAAGCATCAAGTGTATCTCAAGAACATCTAGTTGAGGATATTGCAGACCGCAAGGAGTTTCCAGAAGCTCCAGAAACAGCTGAATGGGAAGTGCTAGAGAACCCTAGTGAGGACTTTGAAATAGGACATCAGAGTGAAGATTATGAAAAATGCGATCCTGTGCCTGAATCAGCTCAAAGTTATCTCCACGATGACAGAAGCTCTGATGAGGGAGTTATGACACGAAAGGTTGAGATTTCTCCCGGCAGTGTACCTGATGAAAACGATATCTTTGTAGCGAAGAATTCAGCTGAACACATGAACACAAACGGCAAAGACAACAGCCTCCACGGTTTCTTCACCTCTGGCTTAACGAATGACTTCTGGGCGTCCTCCTTGGAGACCGGTGCCACCAATCAGCCAGATGATGCCTGCAATGAAGCAGCTGAGCAAACCAATCAGAATTTGGTTTGGGGTGATTCAGAAAACGTGGTTAACGTGGTTAACTCCAGGGTGGATCTTGACTCATCTAAAGCCCTAAACGCTAAGAAAGAGCAGGAACAGATGCATGCGGAGGTGAAGCAGGTGTTGCGTAGCAATGTTGTTGAGGGCGAGTTCGTTCATTCTGACGAGTCTGAGGTTGAGGGTGAATCCTGGTCATCTGGGGAGGAACCGGTGTGAAAAGTAGTGCGAAGTTTGAGCTTTTACAATTTTAGATGTAATTAGTTTGACATTGTCCTCATAACGCATTTACTATGAAAGCCAAAGTCCTGCCTTGGTTGCACACCCCAGTGACGCTGAACACCAATGTGCCAATTCTGTCTCTAAAGATACCGAGCACTCTTGTTTCCTTAATCTGACACGTTTGGTCAACAATTTTTTCCTCTATCCTAATCGTTCAAACTCTTTCAGTGTGCATGTAAGGATGATATCTGCATGAGGGAACAGCATGAAGACAGAGCAAAGAATGACATTTGAAAGTCAAAGCATTATTGATTACTGCCTAATCCGATTTTACTGGCTGATAGAGATCAATGAGACCAGAAGGGTAGGATTCCTGGTAGAGCTGCTATTCCACAATGTTTCTGCTGGTGAGTCGTCTCATTTCACTGGACAACAACTGACCCGTCTTTGCATGCTCCACACGTGTAGAATGAATGGCTGGTTGTAAAAGGTTTGTGTAAAAGATCACACAAACCGTTTTGGAAAAGCAAACTGTTTTGTTTGTATTTTATTGGTCTGTACTCAAAAGGCTTTTTAATTTCCATCTATAAAGTTTATGCTGCGGTACATTTACAGTCCATAATAAACAGTAGATTCATGATATGCTCCGAGTCCTTTTGTTTGAACAATTATCTTCTCTGCTAGCACAGTGCACCTCAACACAGTAGCTGTAAACAACAGTTCTATCTGTTTAATGTGCATTTTATTCAGACCACAGAAGACTGTTTCTCTTCTGGAAGGCTGAATGAAACTCATTTAGATTGATCACATGTAGATGAAGGGATGACGTATCTTTGTAGGCAAAAAGCCAACGTGATTCTTCCATGTTGGATTATTACATTATTATGATTTTTAAAGCGTAATTGCAATCGCCAGAAGTGGAAAAACTAATGTTAAGCTATAAAGAAACTCCACCACGGTCACATGACTTCACGTCAACGCCACTGAGATAGAGTGCGAAAAGTGCTAGCTCTGCAACAGTTAACATTTCTGATTAATTGGTATTAGCATCCTGTTAGCCTCTCTTTAGCAAATATAATACAACTCAGTGATTGCCTGAATCCATTAGATCTTACAATCTTACATAAGATCTTTAATGCCACAGGTAACACAATATTCTATAGGTCCATCATAGTCTAATTTACTGTGTCTGCCGAAGTTCCAGGAAAGAATAATGTCATTTCATACTAATTGTACGGACAAATAGAGCCAGTGTTTAATTGGGTTACTTAGCACCAAGACAGCATTTTAGTCCGTGCACAGCAGGTCAGCTGACGATGCAAAAATGTCTGCAGGCAAGCATGCAATTCAACATTTATGGAGAATTAAATTTCCAATAATACAGCAATAATCCATTCATATTCATGGGTTCAAATGGAGCCGCTCTTTCAACAAACACATTCATACAATAAAGCGAAGCAGGAGAAATTGTGGAATTCATTATGTAACACCTTTGCTGACAAATATCATGAGAAAGCTTTTTTATTTTATATTTTATGAATGTCTGTTATTTAAAAGAGGCAATTGGGCATTTATGAAATAATCCTCTAAAACTATAAAAGCTTTTCTCCAATTTAGAATACAGTTACATCCACAAGACAATGTCAAGAAACCTGCTGCCGACCAGCAACGTCTCCATGTCCTTTGGGTGTGTGTGTGTGTGTGTGTGTGTGTGTGTGTGTGTGTGTGTGCGCGTGCGTGCGTGTGTGTGTGTGTATTGGGTAACATCCCAGCTTCACTGACCTCAGAACAACTCAAGCTAACAAAGCAGCACCGGGGCCCTCAACAAGCAAACATCCATCACAGAGAGATGGCCAAGGAAAGAGTCCGAGAGAGGGAACAATGTGTGACCTCACCCCTCCTCCCCCTCCTACTCCCCCCTCCCCCTCCTCCTCCCCTTGTCCGTCCTTCATTAGTCCGTATTCTGAACAATGACGGCCATTTTAGTGGCTGCTCGCCTCCTCCGCTGCCCAAATCTGCCCAATGAGGGATTGAGAGAGGAAGGAAACAGCAGACGGTCGTGTTCACCGTGAGAAGGCCGGAGTGCTGGAATGGCATTACGGCAGCTGTGTGGCATGCTCCTATTCACCGGCCATCAATAGAGCCGTGCACTACACAACCACTAACTGTGATAAGAAGAGCTGCATTGATGCCGTGAGAGGAGAGCAAGATAAAGATAAAAACATGTTTATTATTCATAGCAGTTGTAAGTGGTCATCCACTCCACCTGCTATAACAGTATACAATGTTCAGTTATGAATAGCCTACATATTACCATGTGTGTTCAACCAAAAGACGAACATGCTTTGCTTAATATGTTTTGTGTGGATTGAATAAGACTCCAATTGATCTCTGCAAACACCTCAGAGGGAATATGTCATTAATGAACAGCTGTTTAAAGATTCATTTACTTACAGTGTGAACCGCTGTTTCAAAAGCTATTCATCATCAGCTATTACACTAATAATTGAATTCTGTTGAATATAGTCACTTTGATAAAAGATAAAATACCATTTTTGTAAACTTAATTTCTTTTTTTTTCACCTTAAATAATCTAAATCCAATCAGCACACTTTATACTTTAATTTAATTTTCATCAAGTGTGCACTACAGCACAAAATAAGGGAGTAACATTAATTAAAGGAGTTTTGCTTTAACTAATGAGGCTGCGTTCAAAACAACGCAGAGCCAACCAGCATCAAGGCAACCTGCTATTTAGAAATATCCAAGTGTTTGCGTATTTAAAAGTTGGTTTGGCACATTGGTCAAATTTGAAGAGATTTGGCACAAATTAACGGTTACCATTAAATCATTCAAGACTTGGGATGCATCTTTTGATTGCTGCATGAATCATTTTGTTTCTTGGCAACTTAACACAGTAAAACCCTGTGACTGAGGGTCAAACCAACCGTCGACGTGTCCACTGTGTGCCAAGCTTTCACTAACAAGCTCCCTGGTTTGCCACAAAACTGGCATAGATGCTAATAAAGTATTGTTGTGTTGGATGTGATTCATCAGCTTAGTTGGAACATGTTTTTGGCAAATAACAACCAGTTATAAACACATGTAGATATATCTGAACATGAGCACCAGACCAGACTGTATTTGGTTCTGCCAGGCTTTCAGGAAACAAGAGGAACAGCATCCGTGCTCTGATGTAATATATGGTGAAGATTATGGTTTTTCATTTCTTATCACATGCATTACTGACACGCCCTCAGGTCTTTCTGCCATCATTCTGTGCATCCATTCTCATTGTAATAAACTCAATTTAAAAAGAAAATGCTGCAAAAGTTTGCATTGGATGTGCAGGGAATCAACACGATTGACTGGTCCAGCCATGGCCACCGGATTAGTATGGGGGGAGGTGTGTTTGTAAGAGTCCATTAGGAGAGGAAACCTCTTTGAGGTGGTGTGTGTGTGTGCATGTTGTTCTGATAGCCATCTGCCAGCCCTCATCCTGTCCCCATCCATTTACTCCGGATGTCATTGGTGCAGAGCCGGACTGAGGAGCAGGCGTCTCCAACGAGTTCTCCCACTTTAGACCCAAATAATGAGAGAATAGTTCAGGTGATGGTAACAAATGTATTGCATTCAGCTACAGGGTTATAGGAGTGGGACCAGACATATGAGTTTGTCCCGTTTGTTTTTCTAGAAGACAAAAACATCAAAAATCAAAAAAGAATCAAAGGGTCTACTCCTCGGGAACACTTCCATAGCAATAATAATAAAGACTATTTTGGCCTGAGGATGGTGTCCAAAGTGCTAAGAGTTCATCCTCTGGGAGCATGAATGTGCTCACAGCAATCTGCTGATAAGATGTTGATATTTCTTGTGTATAAGTTTTTTTTTTTTGCTTGAATGGAGATGGTTGAAAAAAGGTTAAGAGGGAACCAATAACATTAGGAATTCATCCTCTGGGAGCATGAATATCCACAGCAAATATGTAAATACCCCCAGTGTTTTTCACGATCATTTACTAAAGTGTTTGTTTAGGGGAAGAGTTGGCCTGAGGATGCTGTCAGACAAAAGGTTAGGGTTCACCAAAAACAACAGATATCATCCTCTGGGGACCTCGAACGTTCACAAGATAATTCGGCCAATAATTGTGGTTTGACGTCTGGCTCTCCTGGTCCCGTCCGTTCACATTCATGACAGAGAATCTGGAACTTTCTTTGCCTTCAGTTTCTTCACACTATCACTAACTCATTGAGGAAATGCAGAATTGGACACAAATGCAGACAACACAGATAGATCGGTACTATTCAATGATGCCACAGGGAATATACAGGCCTACTTACAGGTACATGTACAGGTACAGGTAGGCAGACAGGCAGTCCAGGTCCGAAGTCCAGGATCAGGTTCTGGAAACAGAGACTTAACAATAAACACAGATGATCAGCAAAAACAAGATTGTCAGAATAAGTTACTAATATTGTATCACAAGTAACCAGAAATGCAAAGTGCACTGAAGACGCTGGCTTTAGAGACGAGTATAAAAGACGACGGTGAAATGCAGAATGGTTTTGCCTTTCCCTTGTGGGTCATTGGTCTGACAGGTGATCCACGATGCCTCTCCCCAAGAGTTACAAACTACTTCCAACTTTTTGCACCTCGTGCTCCAAGCACCGAAAAACAAATGCAACTGCGTCACAGCAGCAAAACACCAGGAGTCGTCTGTCTTTGTGTACACAGAGCTTGAGGCATCTGACGGTGTCACAGCACGATGAAATCCTGCCTATCAAGTCATCAGTCACCCGGCTGTGTTAAAATAGAGCCGAGGTTGCACCGCAATGTGCAATCGGCTGATGACAGCTGCAGGTCGGTTGGGTGAACAGAAAATAAAGAGTATAATCCTCGATGAGAACAATATTGGCAAAGGTTGTGACCTGGATGTTTGAGCTCACAGTCATCTGTTTTAATACTGTTATGAGCTGTTGCTTTTCAATATGACTTCTTCAGACGTTTGCTCACTCTTAGAAATCGGGATAATTTGATCAAAAGATAAAAGAGTCGACCAGTTTGACCCTCTGTCTTTGGATGGTGAGTGTTTAAAACCTGCTGCTGTTGGGGGGAAAGTTTCTGCCCAAAGACGAACGGCCTTTGAAGCAGCAATACGTCCAGATGAACACCGACCGCTGGTTTGAACCGTTGAGCAGGTTCAGAGAGAACAATGACACAGCTCAAACCATGCTGAAAGGAATATAAAAACAGCTGGAGTGGTAACCTATTTTATTTAACCTGAATTTTATCACAGCTGCTTAAAATAACGTTAAATGTTCCTCACCAGTTTTAATTAGATAAACTGCTCTACAAAGACACATTTTCATTTGGAAATGAAAAATTGCTGAGATCATTCAGAGTGGGAGGGAACGCAGGTAGTAATCAAATATAGAATAGATATTCGATTATTAAATAACACAACAACACAAAAACAGGAACAAACGTCCAAACGTTACCCAAAGAAAAGAAAACGACACCAAACAAGAAAGAGGACAACAAAGTACAAGAGCAACAGAGAGAGAGACGAAAGAAGCAACACACAATGAAGCAAGGATGCGGGTGTGGCCACACAGCTGGTTTACAACAGTACAGGCAT